ATGCATGTGCGCATGCATGCATGCATGCAGGCATGCATGCATACATGCATACATGCATACATGTTTTGACTCGCCATACATGTATTTACACATAATCAATGGCTAACACTTGAACCCTAAGCAAGCTCAAAAGCCTAAACCCTTGCAGTTGTTTGGGGTGGGTTTCGGTTGCATCGGCCCCTAGGCTAGACCCGCCGTCCTCGCATGCACCACCAGTCGTGTAGAAGGCCTTCGCCGACGGGGGTGTAAGGGGCAAAGTAAGCCCCTGGGTAACAACCCCGTTTCTGTAAGACCCTAGTATGGACCCTTCTTAGCATCTCGGACGGCAACACAATCAGAAACCCAAGTCGGTAAACTGAAATGGAATTCAGTGGAACCGAAACCCAGTTCACACTTCATGGGGCCCACCCCCTTTTCCAACCTTACCTAACCCAATCGACCTCAACCCAGGGTCGGGTTATAAATGTGGGTTGGGGGTTTGGGGGTGGCTAGCTTCGGTCGAGTGAGGTTGGGTTATGTTAGGTTGGGTTTCTGTGGCCCTAGTTAGGTAGGTCGGGTTATATTGGGTTGACCCAACCTGACTTAAACTGACCTAACCTAATTTGTGACCCGACCCAGTCAGCCTTGAACCACCCAATCTGACGTAACCCAACCCACCGCAACCTAATCCCGACCTCACGTCACCCAACCGAACCTGAACAAAAATGTTAAGGGTTCCAGCTTGTGCTTTAAGCTTCGCGCAACCCAACCAAGCCCAAGCTAATCCAACCAAGCCCAACCCAGCGCAACCCAACAAACCCAACCTTACCTGATCCACCCTCACCTAATCAAGGCGGACCTAACCTCGCCCGACCCAGCCCAACTAAGGTTGTCCGACTCCACAGAGCTGTCGCCCAGCTACGTTCAAACTTAATCCGATCCAAAGAGAAGAAATCCTCTCTTGGATTGGACCCTGAATCCGAATTTCGACCGCAGCGCTCCGAGTCAACCCGTGTTGAAACTGGCACATGACTGCAGAAGTCGACATCCGTGACACAGTAGCCTGAAGTATACGCTGATGTCACTGGCAAAGCGTCCCTTGTTACCTGGGCCTGAATCTTACGCAGCACAAACTCCGACATCTCCACGAACAAATACAGCAGTCACTCACGAAACCCTCTCAAGTGCGAACCCCCGGCACCTCTCTGCGTCTTCCATTCAATTCTCACTCGTAGCGGTGGGATCTACCGCAACGTGCATAACATAAACTATGTCTGAAGCAACCCTTCATGCGTAAACAAAGAACAGGCAAAGCAACTGACAGCCTTTTACGAGACCTTGCTTGCCACTGCCAGGTGCAACCCAAACCCGAATTCCTGGCTCGCCAAAGTGAAATGAAACCCCGTGAATGTAATATATGGTATATAGTATTTATATAGTATCTAGTACATCGTATATAGTATAATCCCTTCTTCCATCTGGACTACTGTACAGGGCCTCCCCCTGAACCCTGGACCCTCTCGTCCCTGATTTCCCTCGCAATGTGCATGCACAGCCCAGGTACAGACGCCAGGTAGGCGACGCCGAACTCCCAACTCGCAGTGATCGTGCTATCCGTCCTAAGTTTGGCGTTCAGTGGCTTACTGGGATGCATTTTTAGCCGACTACGTCATTGTTCCGCAAAGCAAGTAGGCCTACTGCACCAGAAAGGTCTGTTTGGGGAGCAAGTTCACCGACACTTCGCAACAGTTGCCTCTCGCAGCAACCACAAACTAAGGTTCCTTCCTGCCCACACAGATCTTGACGCACTCTGCACTGAGGGCATGGGTAAGGTCTCCACTCTTATCCGGTCAGCCGCTTGTGTTCGCAGTATAGGTAGCCTTTTTTGGCATTGTCCTAGTTGTAACCCTGCAACACTGCTTGCTACATGCCCAAGACAACATCATAAGTGAGTCATAAGTACCCGATCGGCCTTGCTGTGCGTTTCGATCTCTCAAGCCTTCCCTCCAACTAAAGCCGACGGCTCCAAAGGAACATGCCCAACCACCAGACGAAGAAGGTCAGGTTGGCGGGACAGGAGTCCTGGAATAGCTGGCATCACCGAGTCTCTTCTTTCGTGTGTCTTACTAGTGCCGCTGCTAGATTTCCTCCACCGACTTGCTGCGACTACTGTCACTTTTCTATGGTATGGATGTTAAGGCTAACGCGCGCCTTAATGACCCTGGGTTTTGGCAGGTTTTGCGGGTTTAAGCTTCCCTGGTCTGGGGGCTGGGATGGCATGGGGTGGGGTGTGACGTCCACTTCGCCACCATCCCCATGAACATCATCAATATGCAGGCCATCATCATCATCGTGCTTCGACACACAAAACCCTGCTAGGAGCGGTACTTTCACATCATCGTCGTCATCATCGTCAACAACATCATCACCATCATCACCACCACCGCTTTTCCTTTATGTTCCGTTTCAATCCTCCAAAGCAGCTCTCGACGGTCCTGACCTTAGTCGGTTGGCAGACGCCAAAAACAAGAAGACAGTTGCGAAAAAAGCGGTCGGCGGCACAAGTCGCATTCGGAAGGTTAGAAACCCCCGACTGGGGCCAGTGTTTTCGTGCTTCGACGCACAACACCCTGGCAAAAAAAGACGGCACTTTCCAAGCATCCAAGACAAACCTTTTGGTCACAAAAGTGTACCCGACACCACGTTTAACGCGTTCTTGCAATTCTTACGCACCCATGGACCGTGCCAAAGCCCCATGGTCATTCAGGCGCGCGTTACGTAGGGTCTAAGGTTTCGGGTTTAGGGTTTGGGGTTTGGGGTTCAAGGTTTGGGCTTAAGGCTTAAAGGTTCCAGGCTTGGGCTTTTTTTTTGCCAAGAGTTTAGGGTTTAGGGTTTAGGGGCAGGGGCTTTAGGGCTTGGGGTTTTTCGGTGAGATTTTCGGCTTGGGGGTTCGCAGCCCGAGATCCGAAACCCGAATTCCTGAGCCTTGTTTTCTGCCTTTGGTGTAAAGATGCGCAGAGTGATATAGGGGCCTTCATATATTAGAATAGGGTGTTGGAGTATATTAAACTTAAATTATTACAAAAATGAACCCTAAGAATAGTATTGGTTTTTCATTTAGGCCCCTTTGTTATGGGGGCTTTCAACTTCGAGGGTTCAGGATGCTAGACTGGGATTTTGGATTCACGGTGGGTTTTGGGGGTCCGGCGCATCTACCGCATTGGCGTTTGGGCTTGAAGGCTGGGAGGCGTGCTCTACTGAAATGGCATGCAATTCCAGCAGGCGCCAACAGAGGTCTCGCAGACACGTCTCCAAAAACCCGAGACCCTAAACATTCAATCCCAACAGGAACCCTAAACAAAGATAGAAATAGACTCCCTGAAGCCCTAAACCAGAATCCAAGCGCGTTTCTAGCCACTTTTTGGCCTGCTCCTTCAGAAAGACCAAAGCATCCTCACGGGAGACCAGCGTGGTGCATGCAAATATGGGCTACGTTAGGGCTTGACAGTTTTTCGTCGATTTAGGGTGTAGGGCTCAGGGTTGCGAGCTTGAGGCTGGGAGGAGGGTGATGGGCTTCTTGAAATGCCTTTCTTCCACCTGTCCGGCATATCCAACAGTCAAACAGCCAGGGCATGGGGTTCAAGGTCTGTTGCTTCCGGGTTTAGGGTTTTGGCTTTGGGGCGTCGGATTCGCATAGTGTCATCTTTCCGGGTTGGCCGGAACCCAGAGGGAGCAGGAATGCGAGTAAGGGTCTACGATTTAGACGTCGGCGAAGGTCCCATTGCCGCCAGACACCAGAGCCACCGCCAACACATGGAAATTTCAACACTGCTAGCAGTGCGCGTGCCGATGCTGGTCGCCCGAGCTGAAGGCCTGACGGAAGTGACCCCGAATCCATAGCCGCACCGCACAGCCTCAACCCCAAAACCTCCGAAACCCGAAGCCCCAAAACATCCGAAACCGCAAAAAAAAACTAAACCCTAAACCCTAAACCCAAAACTCCTACACCCTCACAACTCCGCTCCTGGAGCCACTTCTTCTCCAAGTCGGGGAGCGCCGAGAGGCACTCGTTGAAATTCCTGAAATCACATCTGCACGTCTCGAAGCCCTTGAAGGGTTCCTTAAGGTGCTTACAGGGCTCCTTAAGCTTCTCGAAGGCTTCCTTAAGGTTCTACAGTAAGAATTCTACACTGTCCGATGTTACTGCTAGTCGCACAGTCTCACTACCAGTACTGACACTGCCGCCCTTTGGTCAACTTTGGTCATTCCTTGTAACGAGTATAAGTGTTATTGTGGTCACTGGCGCTATCTCCATTGTTGTTTTGCGGCTGGCTTGACTTGTACTGTTGCTTTTCCTACGTGGCGATTATCTCCATCACAATGCTTACCTTGTGGTTCTAACTACTCTGATGGGTCTTCTGTTGCTTCACTGTCCAACGTTTGGGCGTCTGTTCAACCCCATCCCGATGCCCATGATGTCCACAGTCATGATGATAGCAGCAATGGTATTGGTAATCAGCCACAGTGATGAGCATAAAACTAACCAATGGAAAGATTGCAATGAACGCGGGAGTGTCGGAAGAATGGGCCACAGCATCATGTGCAACAAAATCAAACAAAACCACCAGAAGCAATTGCAAGCAGTAGTGGTAGTAGTAGTAGTAGTAGTAGCAGTAGTAGTAGCAGTAGTAGTTAGTA